TATTTCTGTTTGTTTTTCAGATATGAGGGACAGTTGATTATTCAAAAGGGAAGAATCATGCTTATTACCTTATCCTATTGTTTTAATGCTTTTATATATCTATATATGTAGATCTATATATGTAAAAAATATATTATATAATAACATATATTAAATTAAATAATGGGAAAAGCTGTTACAGGGATTAAAGTAGATATATATGTATATATAATATATATATATATTTTAATAAATCTTCTGTTAGTCCTTGCACAAATTTTAGGATTTGAATCACTAAGTTTGCTCACATCTGCAAAAAGCAGAAAACGACCTTGTGTAGTTAAATTTTCAACCAACCAAAACCCTCTTCTCTTTGTCTCAATCACAATAAACCTTAGACATAGCAGAATTTCTGAGAGGAACAAGGAGCCTGCAGAGGGAACTGCACACAGCTGTGTCTCTGAGAAACCCGTCTGGCCATTCCGCGTACTACTGAGATAGGAAAGGCAGAGAGACAGACGGTGTATTCCCTGCTTTGGCATCTGGTGACTACCCAAGTACTCAAAACAACAAATTACAACTTTTAAGTCATTTAGAAGTTAAAAAAAGCAAAAACAAAACAAAAAAAGCAACTCATCACTCCTTTTACAAACAAGTATTTCCATATTTTCACTAACAAAACTTTATCTCTTAGGGGGCAAGATATAGCATGTGGACCTCAAAAGAGCGTGAGATTTAAAGCTTATCTGCATAATAAGCAACAGAGAGATTTTCCCTGATCTCGCTGCTTCTCTCATTTATTTTTCAAATTAGTGAAGTAGTTTTAAATATGGAATCAAAAACTCTTTTTTTTTTTAGTGAGCTGAATGATCTGGGTAAAATGTGGATTGTTTGGCATGAAAAAGGTCTAAATAATGCGAAAAGTTTATAGGGGGATTAAAGTAAAAGAATAGAAAACATAGTACAAAAGTGTTCATAATTTCTCAGACAAAAGTGCTAGCAGCGCCTCTGCCAAGGGCTGTGAAACCATAACTGGGACGAAGAACAGAGCAATAGCTTCGATTCTCTAACAGAAAGGGATTTATGTAAAAAGAGCTGTACGCAGCAGGAGTAAAGAAGTAAAATCAGTTCTGGCAGAGCCAGCACTAGAATATTGTACGTGGCTGTCCCATGGCTCCATGTTAAAAGATACATTGAAGTACTGGAGGGGATTTAGAAAAGAGCCCAAGAACTATTTACAGACTGCAGAAAACGCCTTATAAAGAAAGTTAAGTCTTACAACAGCTCAATCTGTTTAGTTTACCCAAAAGAAGATTAAGAGACAGCTTGATTACAGGATATAATTATCTAGCGGGGAGAAAGGCATAAAGCAAGCCAAGAGCTAGAAGCCAAGGACAGACAAACAGAACTAAACAACAGGCCACGTGTTTCCAGCAGCAAGGGCAGAACTAATGATAATGGGCAACGGTGCAGTCTCCATTTTGTGGAGTTTTGAGGACACTCCATTCCAAAGTGGAGTCCTTACATGGCAACGTGCTGTGCTCGGGAACATCCCTTGGTTCAGTGGGTGGGAGGTGGCTGGAGCCAAGCGGCCAGCAGTAGCCACACTCACGAGGTTGCTCTTGTTCCCAAGAAATTTTCCCAAGCATTCCCAAGAGAGTTTGAAAAACATATTTTCAATTGGAGCTTTACATTTTCAAGGCAGAGCACATCCTGCCCTAGCCACAGGAAGTAAGGTTTTGTAACCAGCCTTTAAAATTCAGTCTCATGCTAGCATCTGCACTGCCCCCAGGCTCCTATTGGGATAAACTCCTGCTCTGAGGACATGGGCAACTGGAGTGCTTGAGCACAGTTCTTCCACGGCAGAGAGGATAAAATGTAATTCTCTCCATTGGGAAGTAACTTTACGGAGAGAATTTGAGTGAACCTATCACAGACTTTGCTTCAGAGCTCCCTTTTTCTGTAGGACACAAGACCCTCGAGTCTAAGCCTTCAGCTGTGACTCCTTCTGAAATCATTTGGTGGCCTGGAGCTGCTGTTAAGGCCTTTTTACCAGGGCAGGGGCTCTGTATTTTGCATCAGGAGGAACACTACAAAGAGAAATTATATTCCTTCCAGAATTTTCAAAAAGTAGACTACTGGATCATGAACTTTTATGAACTTCGAACCTCCATACTACAGCTGCTGCTCAAATCATCAAATCACTTGGAAAACCCCGAGTTGGACACCACAGGGGTGGAGATCCCCTGACAATGTTCTCCTCGTGATTTCATGGAGAGGAAGTTCGCTGCCCACACAAGAATGTCATCTCCTAAAATGGCATCTGTGTCTGAGAGGACAGACAAGTGACGCAGACGCCACCATTCTTCTCAAACAATGAAACCAACAGTGCAGCAAAGATATCGGGAGCCTGAGGAAGAACTAACAAGAAAAACTTAAATGTGTGCAGCATGACTTAGATTCTTCCACTCTTTTTTTTTTTTTTTTTCCTGAAGGAAAAGAAGAGGAAGGAAAAACAACTCACAGGAAATACTGAGTTGCTCCTCTGAGCAGGCCTTGCCCTAGACAATTGAGAGAAAACAAGAACACATGCAATACCTTACCGGGTCCAGACAGTGATCTGGCTGTCCCAGTGTCTCCATCAAGGGAAGGCAATTCAGGGAGAACATCCAAGCCTGGCCACTTTCTAAAGTCTATTCCCTGAGGATTGCCTGGCATCCATGGCCATGGGATCAGGGATGTTATACAGCACATCTCTACCTACTTCCTTTAGCTTTTCTTTATATACCTCTCTTCCATTAATCTGTCCATTCCTTTTTCATGCTGATTGATATTGTTTACCTCCACAAGGTACAGCACCAGTAGTTTACCACCTACTATGTAAAAGAACACTTTCTACCTCCTAGTTGAGGACCCTGTAGTTCCAGCACTGCATGATTTAACAAACAGTTCTGCATCTATTTGCTGTCAGCTACTTCTGCAGTTTTGAGAACCTGTCATATCTCTTCTTCAAAATGCTCTCTCCAAACTGAGAAGCCTCAGCCTTCCTAATTTGTTTCTCCAGCTCCTCCAACCACTTAATAATTTTAGTTCCCTCTCTGTATCTTTTGTAATTACACTATGTCCTTGCAATACAAAGACCAGAACTATATACAGTATGCAAAATGTTTTGCATAATGGAAAAAATTATGCTTTCTGGTTTGTTCACAAGACTGCAGAGACAGGCCTGACAGCATTCCATTGCCTGGCACCACCTCCAAGAAATTCGTGTCAGAGGCCTGTCAAAGCTCTCCTCCTCTTCTGTCTTCAGTCTTTTCTTCACCCTCCTACTGCATGCCTGCATTCCTCCAAGCCAAGGCCACACTGCTCTCCCATTTTTCTGCTACACCCCCACTTCCCAAGCCTCCCATTCCCAGTGCAGGGAGGCATAGGACCCCGCATGACCTGACTCACTGTGCACAAAATACTGCTGAGCACGCTGTGATGGGGGAATACACATCCCTGCCTCATCCTGCAACTACCTACTGAGGTTCAGCTGCTTTTCTGTTGCTCCTGGAGGTGGCTGTTACCAAGTGCTACAATATAAAGAAATTCCTTTCACATACCTGCTTGAGCTTGTTGGGGGGGAAGTGTGGGTAGGAATTAGGAGGCCCCTGGCCCAGCTTCTTGTGCCTAACCCAGTGGTTCAAGGTGGCTGGAAGAGAATAACTGCAGCCCACCTGGTCTCGCTTGGCACCACCTGGGGTGCAGAAGGCACAAACATTGGTTGGAAAGCAAGTTGTCAGGCAAGTGGTTTGGTTTTCCCCACTCCAGGCACTTTGGGAGCTGCTTCAGGAAGCAACTCAGCTGTCTTTGCTGAGCCTGCCTAAATTTTGCTTCCCCCTATAGCCTTAGGCAACTGCCTGCTTTGCCTGTGCCTTTAAAGTCAGGGCTTCCCACGACACTTGAACTTGCTGTTATTAAAAGGAACTGTGTCCACTGGTGCCTTGCATAGGAATGTGCACAAGGATCACACAAGTTTCTCCTCAATAAGGCAGCCTATGTCCAAGTTCTGTTTAACTTTACCTATATCACAGCAAGTTTATAGATACAGATATACACAACCAATTTATTTACATCATATAACTTCTGAATGTGGATCATCTTGCTCTCCAAAGAAACGTTCATTACCAATGGTGATTTGGTAAGCAGGAGACTTTTAGGACAGAAACCCACTTGCAGCTTTACTTTGCAGTAGAAATGTGTAAAACATACTTATTGACAGCTTATATAACAAATCATGGAAGAGCAGAATTCTGCCACTGACTTGAGAATGATTAAACCCTGCAAAAATATCTTAGCTTTTCCAAAACTAACTAGACTTTGATCCCAGTCACTTTCTAAATAGCATTTATACTAACATATTAACTAAAGTGTTTTAAAGATGAGTCTTGAGATCTTAATTGCATTTAAATTAATTAGAAATGCATGGCCCAAAGACCGTGCAACTTAACTGAAAGTAGCTTTATGGCAATATAAGTGAAAAGAAAACATTTTTCAAACATTTCCACAAGTGGACAATTTACATTAAAATCATCCTTTCTGTAGAATAATACAAAATAAAATATTACCATCTGATCAACTCATATAATGCTGATTTTATATATTTGAATTAACAACATTTCTATGTACAATTGCAATAAGACTGCATTTTTACAGATATTCAGTTGAACGTACTTATAATACAAATTATACACTATATACAAACCTAGTCCTCCCAGGAACTTATTGCTGAGCATGCTTCACTTAGAAGTGTTTTCCCTGTTTCTAAGACAGGATGTTATTTTTTCCTTTAATTTAAATACTGAAATACTCATGAAAACACAAAACATTTTCCATTTGCTATCACAAAGTAATGTTTCAAGTCAGTTGCTTGTTACAGCGTATTATGGAAGAGGAGCAAATCCAACAAATGTGTTGGCAGAGCCAACAATAAATAGCATTGCTTATTATGAACCACTTAGACTATTATATTCACGTGATCACACTTTCAGCCTCAGTGCTTTTACAAGACTGTAGGATCCATTTATCTTTGCTTTTCTTGACACGTAGATCAAAATTGCAACCAGAGGTACTGCTATTGCTGTTACACAAGAAAATGCAATAACCACGAGCATCATTTGATCTGGGTTTTCCACTCTTCCTGCAAAATAGGGACATAACGAGGAAAACAGTTTTGTAAAAAGTGGTTTAAATAAATGTATATTTCTGTGAAAGATATGCTATTAATCATCTTCACTGGGGCCACTTTTCTGTTCTCATATACGAAGCACATTTCCAACCCTTCTCTTTATATTTGCCTCTAGCGATTGCATAGTACCCCCTTTATTTCTTAGGCAGAATCTTGTTATTGAATTAATTTTGCAACTTTCAATGAATTTGGTATCATTTACAATGAAGAGTATCATGAAGTTCATGAAAAATACAAGAGAAATATCCTCTATTTCCCCAAGGAATACTTGGGACAATTCTGCTTCCTGGAGGCATAGCACTTCAGAAAACGGTCATTAAGGAGCCCAGTCTTTACAATATTTATGTGAAATGGAGCTTGTTCCATCCACAGATTAGCTCTACTGCTCAAGTAGGTGCACAGAATTGTAGTCAGGATCCTCCTTTTTTCTAACCCCTCTCTTACAGCTGTTGTACCATGTCAGCTAAGAAAGATAACAACATTCATTTTGAAAGGAGGTTATATACAGGTGATTCTTACCAGCTGTTTTATTATTTGTCTTAGTCTCTTTGTTTTTTAAAGCTAAGCATAACGTTTCTGCGCAAGGATCAGCAGTGAACTAGATGTGCTCACCTTGACACAAAATTCGTTATAAGACAAGAATAAAGATAGTTGAAGGCAATAGATCTACCTACCTCCAACAGCTATCTCAATCATTTTAATGTTGTTTCCAACCTCATTAAAAACATCAAGCAAATATGTGCCTGTGTCACTTTTGGTGACATTGTAGAGTATAAAGGTTCCATTCACTGACGACAGAATAATTTCTTTCTCTGGATGGACTTTTTTCAGAATCATTTTTGACGGTGGGTTACTGTATGTGCTGCATGTAATAGTGACATTTGCTCCTTCTTTAATATTTTCTGATGGATGTACTAATACAGTAATATTTTGAGGAGGAACTGAAAAGAAACACAGTAAGATTTAGCAACAGATAGAAGCCAAGGAAAAAAGATTCATAAGGTACCAGCAGCTTGTAGACACAAGGCATTCATTTAATTCAGTTAACAGATTCACAACAATTTTTGAGGATGTAGCATTAGATGCTGCTTGGTACCTATACTTAATAAAGTGCACTCAACAGCAATTGATCGAAAGAACATTTTAGCACCTGATAGACTACTTCGCATTTACTTTATCTCATATAGAGCCTTTTTTTTTTCTTTTCTTATTTTATTTATTCAGTGAGTCCATGAAAGGGTATGAGTTTACAGTCACACAGGCTGATGTCCTTTTTTAACAGTCGAGAAAAGGCAAAAAATACCATTTTTATCATTAGGTTCCACAATTTTGAATCCTGTTCTTACAGTTTGGGGGAACTATGAAAACTTCAAAGAGACAATTATCCTGTGCATCTGGACAACAGTTTTCCTTCACCACTAAGATCCTATCACTTTTTTTTTTTAATGACAAGAACCTGTGCAATTCATCTCAAGACAATTTTTTAAAAGACATTTCATTCTCAATGGATAACAAAAGATGAGCCCAAATACTGCTATTTGAAAGAAATGGAAGTGAAGATGTAATTTAATCCTTCTAAAAAATCATATTAATTTTATACAGTAGTTGTTTTAACTGACCTTTGACATCAAGCACTATATGCTGAGACTCCTCTCCCAGTTCATTACTGGATACACATTCATATGTTCCTGCATCCTTCAGCAAAACCCTTTCTATGGTATATTTGCCATCTTGTGTTTCAAGCATTGTGATTTCATCACCTGTTTTCTTTCTCAGAGTAATCTGAACAGCTGGAATTCCTGTAGATGTGCAAGAGATGGCAACACGTTCTCCTTGTTTCACTGCATTTGAAGGGAAAACTGAAAGAGTTGTGTTTTTTGGCGGAGCTACAAAAAAGTAGAGAGACTGATTAGCAGCAGAAGTAACTTCTGAACAACTTATTGCCCTGCAGTAAACACAACCAGACTGACTAAAGAGGATAAATTAATGAAGTTACATTTTAAAAATAAATTAATAGTCTAATAACAATATTCTAATAATTATTTACTTAGTTATAGATAACGATACTACATATATGTATAGTAGTGCAGTCAATTAGATTGCTTTTAGGATTAGATTGCTTACTAAATTTACTAAAATGCGCATGTATATGCTGTACTCCACACCGTTACTCTTATCTTTTTTTTCAAATTCAAAAACATTTATGTTTAGCTTGCTCTGAGTACTGGATGAAAACGAGACCCAGATCTTGTTTTGTAAGGGCAAGCTGAGTAACAACTGAAAAAAAATATTCCCTGAAAATGAAACTCTGCTATCCTTGCACACAGCTTCAGGAGTTAGTATTTGACATAAATTTAAATGGAGCTTATGAGAACAAAATACACTGTCAACACTTAAAGGAGGGCCAAGGAACTTCAAAACACTCCCTTCACAGGGAATTTTCAGCATATTCTTTCTCTTTGAACCTTTTCTATATAAGTATCTGGATCCTACTTGGTGGAAAATATAGGTGCTTTCCTTTATAACTGCTTTGCCTTGTGTGTACATTTCCCACAGCAAAGGAGTAACAGAAGCTAAACTGACATGGAGAACTTTGCATGACTTACCTGTACTAAAGAAAAAGTCACTCTTCATTAATGGAGCTACCTAAATGATTAAATGGAATAGGGCCAAATTTTGACTCCATTCACATCAAAGACAGAATTTTCATTGACCTTCACAGATTTGGACCTAAAATACATATTTTTAAAATGTTTTCCATCTTCTACTAACCTTGAACAAGTAATTTTAAAGCTCTTTCTTCTCTGCCAAATTGGTTATATGCTTCACATTCATAAAGCCCCAAATCTTGACTTTTGATATTGTCTATAGTTAAAGTAGCATCTTTAAAAATTTTCTCAGACTCCCCAGTGGCACTCTTTTTCTTCCAAGAGATTACTGGAGTTGGATTGCCAGAACTATTACATTTCATTGTCACAGTTTCCCCTTCTTTAACGGCAGCAGCAGGGATTACAGAGATGACTGTATTCTTTGGTCCATCTAAAAGGAAGAATCATGTGGTTAATTATCAATAGAATTTTTAGAGAAGATTTTAGAGAACATTTACTGCTGCATGCAGGTTGTCAGCCTCCTGAAATTAATTTCTCTCTTATCCTCAGAATAAGCAAAGCACACAGATTCAGAGCTTCAATGCAAACTCTCCAAACGCTGTTTATCCTACCTATAAACCAAGAATGTTATGATAAGTCAGTCAATCTCACTCAGATCTTGATTTAAGACTGACAAAATGCCAGGTCTAACCGTTACATTAAAAATTTCATGCCTCTGTTTTGCTCCTCAGCACTGCTCCTTTCTTTGGGAAAATACAGAGGATTAGGTTGTTCTTTTCCTACAAAGAGAAAAATGCACTCAAAGGAGGACTGGAAGGGCTAGGGAACAGGCAGAACTCTGACTCCGATTTTGTATTCATAGGTTTTCATTAGTTTGTTTGCTGTACCTATCACTTGAGTAAGTGGAGAACTGACATAACTAATTATGTTTAAATGACTGAGAATACATTATGGACACTTACATTCCACATTAAGAGCTATTGCACTTTTTTTTTCTCCGAACTTATTTTCGACTATGCATTCGTAGTCTCCACTATTAAGAAATGTCACAGATGGCAGAAGGAGAATTCCTCCCTCACTGTAAAGCCTCACGTCTTCACTGTCAGATTTCCTCCTTAAAACAATCTTAGCAGGAGGGTTACTCTCAGCAGAACATCGTATGGAAACATTTTCTCCTTCTTGAACTGTTGTTGAAGGCTCAATGGAGAACTCTGCAATATTTGGAGCACCTGCATGACAAGAGGAAATACTAAGGTTATGCTAAAGCACAAGAAGTACTAAAGATGGATAGCATTTGAGAAAGTAGTAACTGCTGAAGGATCACTTTATTTTGATTTTGGTCCCAGATTCCAGCTGAGACTTTTGTCCCTCCTGAAATAGTGATGATAAAGTGTGATATAGTTTTATTAATAAATGACTGCTAAATTTACTACTACTCATTAAAAGTCCAAAGTCGGAGATGAGATGTTCCTGTGAAATTCCTATGTGCATTACTATTTCAAGCGAATCCCCACAATACCACTTTTTATGACTGAGTGTGGCACTACAGGAGATATTTATAGGACTGCATGAAAACCAGGAGAAAAACAACTAGCTGAAAATTAATCATCTAAATGTAAAACATAGCCACAAAGAGTAACAGTAATTCGAAATATGATTCCTGAATATGTTGTAAGGATGGCCCCATAACTTCCTAATTTTCAGTGTTCTAGAGTCCTGAAAGGAAGAGACAGCTGCAGACTGGGACCTGAACAATATAAGTAAAATTTATGCAGACTTGTACCTTGTATAACAATCTCCACAGCTGCTTTCTCTGTTTTATTAGTCAACAAATTAGTTACTTCACAGATGTAAAGTCCTGAATCAGTGAAATGGGCTTGAGGAATAGCAAGGACATTGTTTTCCGATGCACACTGGACAATTTTGTCAGCCACTTGTCTTCTCCAAACTATTTGTGGTGGTGGATTACTGTCAGTCACACAAGTGAGATTTAGAGAGTCTCCTTCCATTGCTGAATTGCTTGGAGATGCAATAATGATAGTATTTTTAGGACCAACTTGAAGAGAACAAAAGAAAAATATGGTCAATATTTTGATGAAGATATGCACATCTCTAGGGCTAGCTTCTCTAGAGAAACACTTCATATAATACTGAATAAAAATAACAATCTGGGTATACCAATAGAACTTTTTTTTTCCCCCAAACTTGATAAGGTGTTTACACTTGCAGCTTTAAAAACTAAACTAGCCAAAATGTGTACCTTTTTAAATTTTTTTTTTTTTAAAATGCTTACCCTGTTGACTAGGACTATAAACTCACAATTCCAGTTTAAATAAACTTATAATTTTAAACAAAGGCAACTTAAAACAATATTTCTCTATCTATATGCTGTTATTTTTATTCCGGTCTTTACTAGTACCCAGGGTAAGAAAGTGAGAGAGAAGTTACTGCAGGATTGCCTAATTTCCATCATGAACAACAGTGTGTTACTAAGCTGGCGAGTGTTGCTGAGCGTTACTGAACACAGCCCCATCCAACCTATATGTCATCGCCTTTAAACCTGAAGCCCTCAGTCACCTGTTTCACAAAGAAGTTACAGACTACTCAGAAATGACATTTCATAACTAAGACCCACAGACTGCAATACGGTTGCTACAGTAGTGTGAGGCCTAATATGTATATTAGATAGTAGATTATCTATACAAATAATATAGCTAAAAAAAAGTGTGGATTATCAATGATTTATTGCACATACGTCGTAAACCCTCTCATGAACCTTAATGTAAAATGGTATTTGAAAACTCTAGTATGGAAAGACTTACAGTTTGCATTCAATTTCTGAGATGTTACTCTTTCTTTGGGTTCAAAGTCCATATCATCAATTGGTAATTTAGCCACACAAGAAATCTCTTTCCCAATATCTTCAGCAGTGGGGTTAAATGAATATGTCACAGTTTTGGTCTCTGCATTTGTGCTATGATCTTCATAAAAATTTTGCTCATGAAGAATATGATCCTCTTTTTTTAGGAGCACTTCTAGGCGATCAGAGGGATACACATTGGGAATTTTACAGGTAACAGTGGCTTGTTCCCCAGCAGCTAAGGATGTGCTGACCTCAATGACAGGATCACTGGGGAAAGCTGAAAGAACAAAACAAATTTGTTTAGTCTGCCACAGAAAGGCCCTAGAGAAAACACGAGGGCAAGATCCAGATTTGAAACATCTTAAGTTTAGAGGTGTTCAGAACATGACTGTTTATTAGCTGTGTTACAAGGCATAGCTTGATATGAAGATGCACAGGTCTTTCATAAGCAATTCATACACTAGCAGGAATTACATTGGCACACTTGTTAGAATGTGACCACAACTGATCTAGTAAGATCCAGCAAGGAACCTAGGCTGCCTAACCCTAGGGTTATCAGTTAACTGCACCATCTAAGAGCAAACCATTGAGTTTTTATGAATAAGTACTACTTAAAGAAAGTTTTACATATTCACTTACAGTAAACTTCAATTTTGAAACTTTTTTCTTTCTTCTCATGCTCGCAGCAGACAGTACACAGATAATCATGAGCATTCTCAATTTTAACTGCATTCATAGTCAAGGTCGAGTATGTTCCATGGTATGTCACTGTTCCTCCAAGTGGGTTGTCGGTTTGGATTCTCCAGGAAAAACTTGGTGATGCACAGCCAGTGGCATTGCATGTAAGCACAACTCTTTCTCCAACCTGTGCAACAATTCTGTTGGCAGGTGTGATCTCCATTTCAAAAGCTTTCACTACAATAGGGAGAATATACATAAACTGAGCAGCATTCTCAACATTTATTTTCCTTCTTCTCATGGTCAGTTGTGATATAAGAGCTCTTTACTTTACAAGTTAAACTAATAAACCTCATATACTGGTTTACTTGTCAAAAAGAAAAAAGAAAAAAGGAATGTTTATGCAGTAAAGATAACTTGGACTCAGATGATCTTAACACCCTTTTTTTTGTGCAAAATGGCATAAAAACAAGCCTAGTAGTAAAAATATTTGCATCAGCACAATTCAACTTTTTGCTACCTGGATCTGTTCCAAAGCTTCATGAGATTTGAATGAGCAGTAAGTAAATAAGTTAAAAATGGCAATTACAGAATCACTTCCAACAGGACGTTTAGTACTAAACTCGACTGATACTGTCTGGGATGATAGTAAAACCAAACATATAGTGATATACAGCATTTGCCTCCTAAGTTACCTGACAAACTGAATGAGAAAAGGATCGTGTTATTGCAGAGCATAAAAAAGCTCAAAGTGAATGCGGAAAAAAGTTTCTTAATATTCTGACAATTGTACTCACTGAAATGTAAAAGCAACTGAAACAAAATGAAATAAAGTTCAAACGGCAAATGGCACCTCAGTTGGCATTAAGCAAAATTTAAGTAAATTAAAGGAAACAAATTCTCCCAACTTACCACTCATGCACACATACAAAATTGTTATCACAGCTTGGCTTGTTCTTTCCATCAGTTTTATCATTTGTAATTGCTGTAATTAAGTGACGAAAGTAAATTCAAAAGTCTTGCTTTCTATTTCCTGTGGAGAAGTTCAGTGAGAGCCTGCTGCTCTGCGACTGCTTGTTCAGCCAGCGCCCGCGTGCTTTTATAAAGGTTCTGTGGGAAATCCCTGGACGGGGAAAACGGGGAAAGCCAGTGCCGAGCGGAAGTCATCCACACAGTGCTGAGGAGGTGATTTCAGCGCCCTCTGCTGCCTTTTTTTTTTTTTTTAAATCAGAATTTGAAGCCCAGGAAAACAACAAATACACTGTCAATTGTACTTGCAAAGAGCAAGTAAGTCAACATCTTGCTCTGGAAACGTCTGATAAAATGAATGAATGAGGGTAATTCCAATTCAACAGAACTATGTAAAAGATGGAAAAGTTATTCAAGTTTACCTTCAGTATCTTCACAGGGTTGGGTTTTTTGAGAAAAGTCCCAACAATACTCAATTATGTGAATTTCCTTTGAAAACTGTGCCACAACTCTATGAGGTGATGTTATTCACAATCCTAAGTGCTCCTGATCCCTGAAAAAAACACAAGAAATAAGTCAGAGGAAAGTGTGGAGATCAGACTTCATCAGCTTGAACCAGGCTAGTCATGTTCGGATGGATTTTACTCAAATGGCTCTTCTTGTGAAGCGCTATTGGCATGTATTATAACCCTGATACTCCTCTGGGACATAAAAACACCACTCCAGGTCAGTGCTTGGTTTCCAGTGAATATGCAGTTTGGAATAAAGACAAGTACTATTACGTAATGTCTGGTAAGGAGACAATGTTTGCAAAAAGCAATATAATGCCTGTGCTTAATTATAAATTGCGAAATGCTATGAGAGCAAAAACCGAAGGTTTACAAATCTCAATTGTTTAGTTACTCAAATTGCAACCGGTCAGATATGACTGCAATAAAAGCATCGCAAAAGTCAAAAAAAGCACAGATTTTAAAAATGTGTCTGCCAGATCATTTTGTATGTAGTAATCTAATGAATTGTTTGATATCTGTGAACAGTGATTGTCACTGCATTGTGCGCTTTATAAAGAGCATGGATCTGACTAGCTCTTAACTAATTATTTGGAAAAATACACACTAAAATTAAAAATAGATCTATGAATGCTAAACAAATTTCACTATTGAAAGGTGGCACTACAATAATCTAATACCTTTTGAACCGAGCAGATTTTATGGTCAAGACACTAGTGCTGGCTCCAATACACCATATTCAGGTGAGAGTTGTACTGGGGTGGCAAGGCTCCTGCTGTTACCATGTCTTCTATCTTATTAATCAAACTCAGAAAACCAAAATCTATGGAACTAGGTAACTGGGGTGGCAAGGCTCCTGCTGTTACCGTGTCTTCTATCTTATTAATCAATCACAGTATTTATAGAATGTGATTTGATTCAACCAAAAAAGTGTTTTTCTGAAAGAAAGCACACCCTCTTTGTTAAGTTGTAAATAAATACTTTTTAATCACAAAGAGAAGCAGCAGATGAAACTCCTCTGTTTTGACTGCTTAAATAGTCATACTTTAAGTCACAGAAAGAAAGGCATAATTTCTCTATTTCTGGGAAGTCAGTTTCGAGATACAAGAAATTATAAACATGGAAGGCATTATCCGTATGCTGGGAAAACTGTAATTAAATCCTTCATTAGATACCATGGAATAGGAAACAACTCTGATCCAGATCCCAGTAAATTAAACTGGACAGTTGCCATTAATTTTACTGTGTTGGATCCTTACCAGAGGGTTTAAGGTGAGCAATCAGACAAATCTAACCCAGACAGTACAAGTAAGAATTGGGCTAGCCAACACACACTGTTAAAGGAAGTACAGACTTGCCAAGAGCACTGATAAATTTCTTCAAACTTGCTTTTTCTTCCACATTAAATGTGAGCACCCTGAGCGTTTTAAAAAGAACATGCACTTTACTGTGGCCCTACTATCCTCAGCATTCGACCTACAAATAGGAAAATATGTTACCTGGCCATTCTGTCTACAAAAAAACAGAGAACAGCTGTCAAGTTTTAGATGTTGGTCTCAAGAGTTCAGATAATCTAACTTTTCATTCAGTTAGGACCGAGGAGGAGGCTGAGGGTTTAAAAAAAAAGAAAAAGCTGCATCTAAGTTCGCAGTGACATGAGGCTGGAAGAAATTGATTCATGCAGAGTACAAACATCTACAAGCAAAGAAAAAAAATATTACAAAAATATTATCTAAGACCCAAAAGACTGAAAGAATTAAGTACTGGAATGTAAATATATGTTTTCCAACACATTTAAGATTCAAAAGTGACTTTTCTAAGGCTTTGGTGGACAAACTGAGCTAAAATGATTGTGTGTTTCAGAAGAGGTTCAGAAATAATGAACATGTCATTTTTTGGCTTGGCACCAGAAAGTAGATGCCTTCCAGGAAATCGAAACTTACTTCTGACTCTTCTGGAACACAAGAAGAAAATAAAACTGCTTCAGAACTGTGCTAAGCATTGCCTTTAATTCATACTTACACAGCCCTACTAAACAGCTTTATCATGAAATTCAAGATTTCCTCTGGACAAAAGAGTTCACAAGCGCATGCTATTTGAAGAAAATGTGTATTATGTAATGTGCTAGATATCTAAATATGCACTTAGAGAGTAGTGTGGTGCATTGTTTCATGGAGAATATTAGGGGAAAGCATAAAAATTAAACTTCATAGAGAGTTTGTCTCTCAAAAATCTTTTTTTTTTTTTTTTTTTTTTTTTTTTTTTTTTTTACTAAGGGGCCAAGATCTGCTGAGAAGAGGACTAATCTTTCTCTTCTTTTGGCAGAAGAGATTTTAAAAGTGCTAGAAATAAATTGGCCTAATTTGACATGCTTCCTATGCCAGCAATAAAATGCTTAATGGCACTTCACGCCAATATCTGCATCTAGAGCCACTTGGGATTTCTGCTTTAAAAAAAAAACAAATAGTGTTGCAGTATTTATATTTATACAGAATGTGAACCCAGAGACTTACTTAAGCATATACATTACTGAGCATCTTTGTGTCCCATCAGCTTGAGATGGCAGAGTCTTTCAGGTGAGGGATTAGATATAGCTTAGTTTCACTCCACATTTCTTTGGTCTCAAGTCACAGAGCTATTTCAACATGTTCATACTTAGGTCTCCCCTAACTGCAGCCTCACTTACCTATCTCATAAAAGATCTTTCTCTCAAGATGTGCACTGGAAGCCACTGGGATGAAGAGCTTTCACTCTGCAGAAGCATCTGATACATCCACAGTATGATTTGCCTAAAAAATGTGATCAAGAGAAACATCCTGTAGCCTGAATGAGAACTATGCTGGCAGGGAAAGCATATTTTTGTCAACAAAGAAAGAACAGGCACTGCATCCTAGACAACAACTTCAATATAGTTATGTCTTACAAAATAACTGAAAAACTATTTAACACACCCAAACAATTATTAAGAATGCTTCTTATGCGGCCTATGCTGCAGACATCTGACACGCCAGATTCAACTTTTCAGTTCTGGCAACCTCAATAACCAGTTATAATTTTATACTGTCTTTCCTTTCTCAGTGCCTACTGGCTTTTCCTGTTTTC